TTACGAACATGAGCATTTTACTAAGCTCGTCCCCAGAGTGTACTGTCTGACAGCTGTCCCCACAGTGATCATTTATTTTTGTCAGTCCCTAAATGCTGCTTATTTCTATTCATTGGTAAAGGGACTTAAATGGATGAATTTTATCAGGGAAAGAAACCAGTGGCTGAAACTGGTTTCAGTGGGCCCTGGGTTGACAAAATGCCAGCCACTGAGAGATGCCTCCCAGACAGACTTCCTTCTGAAGGGTACAGACCTGTGGAGACATAAAGGCTCAACAATCATAACCGGTAATTCACCAGCTCGTACAGCTCCAAAGAGTAAGATCAGTGTCCCCACAGTGTTTTACCAGTGTGAGGAGTGTGTCCCTGAGGTCTCAAAACCTCGTTGTTGGCCCCGTCTCGGGGGTCTATCCCTTTATCTTTACTATCTCTGATCTCTGTAAGCCTCTCTCCTCCCTGCCCATTGCCCCCTCCTCTCTCCTCATCACTTCTTTCTTCGATTAACCTATAGACACAGAATGGAAATAATAATCAGGCTTTTCTTGGACAAATCACTAGCCTGGCCACTTCATTGTTCTGAAACCAGAAATGCGTGTCCCTGTATAAATGCATTCAGAACATGAGATAAAAATCTTTCTAGACCAAACATTGTTTTCCAGTTGTATCAAATGTCAAACATGAGGGCGCACTTCATAAGCTTTTGCTGTGTTTTCATATTAAAGGGTTACATTGTATTTATCAAGTGAAGTGTCACTATTTGGAGTAAAATGTAATCAGTTACAGTAGGTCTCTATATTTCTTTTCCCCACCCCCTGGTTTTTAATGCTTGAAACCATTGTGGTAAGTTTTCAATGTTGTTCTATGTCAAGTTATTCTTTTATGGGAGTCAGGAAGGACCTGTTAGATCATAAACTCTTGCTTTTGATCCATAGGAATAAAACTCCAGGACAGGGATGAGCAGGTGGTCTCTTAGCAAACATTTGTTTAGCCTCTTGTGGGAATCCACATGACTTAAGTGAGCAGAACCCATTAATGAGCCAAGAAGGGCCAGTGGTCGAAACAGCTGCACCCTCTCCTCTGATCTGGAAAACAAAGAATTCCATTTTAGGGCCTTCACTGATAAAAGACCTTAATCTTCCATTTGGCATAACTGGACTTGGATAGTCAGAGTTCTGTTCACCAAAAGTGTATTTTCTTGTCCTTTCTTCCTACACTTACTGGTGGCAAAATACCATAATCTGCGCCCCCCCCCCCCCCCCCCCCACCATAATGTTTAAAAGAAGTTCATGGAATGACCTTGTACTTACAGAAACTGCTAGGAGGTATAACCACGAAGCAAATTCTTATTGGCGTCTTCCCTGGCTTTTTCATTCTCTTTGTATCTAAGAAAGAGTGGAGACCATGTGTTTCATTATGTTTCTCTGGCAACGATGAAGAAGTGAGAGCAAATGTTAAAAATGGTAAAGAGCATTTAATGAGCACATACTAGGTGCCAGGCTGTGTTAGAAATGCTCTTTGCACCTTGTGTAGTTCAATCCCCACAATAATCTTATGTTGTTGGGGCTATAGGTTATCCCCATTTCATAGATAAAAAAACTAACACAAAAGGTCAGAGTAACTTGGCCAAGGATCACAAAGCTGGAAGGGGACAGAAATTTGAACCCAAACAAACTGGACTCTGGAGCTAACCCTATTAACCTCTATGTGTTCCTGCCTCCTTGACGTAATCAAGGTCTTTGTGGGTTAAATACCCTTTACCAGGAAGGCTGTTTAAAGCCCTAGCACGTACTAAGTTCTCATTAAATGTCGTGAATGTTTACTTCTCGAATGTGGAGGTGAAAAGGCTATGAAAGAATTATTTAATATAAGAAACAGTCTGCCTATAGTTACCAGGAGGGCAGTCCTCACAGTCTGACCTGTCTCATCTTCAAAGGAGTGCTCACCTGAGAGGTAAAAAGGGCTCCCCCCAGCCCGGCTGGTGTGGCTCAGTGGTTGAGCATCACCCATGCACCAAGAAGAGGTCACCGGTTCGATTCCCGGTGGGCCTGATCCCCAGTGGGGGGCCTGCAGGAGGCGGTCGAGCAATGTTCTTTCTCATCAATGTTTCTATCTCTCCCGCTCCCTTCTTCTCTCTCAGAAGATTTCACCAACCCCTCCCCTGCCCTACCTTCCTGGGCTTTGGGGAGATTAAAAGTAGGCTCATAACTAGGCGAGAGGTCTAAGACGTTGTAAAGTAAGCAGTGGTGTTCAAGAAACTAAGTATCACGGACAAAAGTGTGTATGTTTACCCTGGGAAGGGGGGCTTGCAGAAGAATTTATGGCCCAGGCTGTTTTCCCAGAAGTGACCTAGATGGACTTTTGCTGCTCTGTGCACACTCCAGTCTGCATCCACTTACCCTCAGGTATGTTTGTGTCTCTCCCAAGAAGGTGGTCTCCGTGGATCAAGGGGAGGCCGAACCCCATCAGCAGCACTGGCCCAGCGGTGACAATGGTCACTTTTGCCCGTGTGTGTAGCTAGATTTTTGTACTTCTCACACTGAACTTGATGGGCAATAACTTCATGGAAGTTTTAGCCACTCTTGGTATATTTTGCTTTGGCTGTTGGACTGGTGGCCCGTTATCGACCTCCTCTCAAGTTGCTTTCGTCTGAAACTGGCCTCCAGAGAAGGCGCCACCAACGCTGATTCTTACACAACTTTCACAGTTATTCAGAAGTGGTTGGAACAGTCCCTTTATTCCAGAGTTTTCCGATGTGTATCGATAGGGAACAAAAATGTCATGTGCGGAGTTTGGCACATGCTGGCTTAAAAGAGTTGAACGGTTTTGTTTTCTGCAAAATTCTTACCGCCTTTAACATCATGATGGGGATTGTGAATCTGTAACAGAGTACCCAGTATCTCCCAAACTCACGTCACCATAAAACCATGCGTGTAGGACTTGGTACCAGGGTGTCTTAGAAGCCCAGGGTGGGTAAGAACACAGACACGTCCTTGCCCATAACTCTGCCACTTACTGCCGTCTTGATCTGGGGACTTAACCTTCACCACAGTCTTCTCGTCTGTAAAAGAGTGATGCCGACGATGATGATACCTCCGTTATAGGGTTGTTATGAAGGTTAAATGACCATGTACACCGGCCCTTCTATCTCACTGTGTGTAATAGGTATTAGCTATTGTTATTGTAACTGTTCAGCCCTCCAATTACTAATATAGGCCCCACGGCCATGTCAATTTCAAAAGTTAGAGAAAGTTCATTGTGACCTTTCTATAGGAAAAGGAACACCTAACTAGGGAATAATATAGAGGCTTTGAGTTTGGGGGAAAACGCAACAGAGTTTCCAGTTTAAATCATCTGCCTAGTCAGTGCGGATACAGTCATGATGAAATGCAAATGTTGACTTTGAGTAACTAAAGGTGAAATACAAGTCAGAGAAAGCGAACAGGGGCAAGAACTCTTCTTGTACTCATGGAAGTTGGACTGGGTTGAAAGAGAAAATGTCAAGGTAGGTGTAATGTATAACGGTAGACATCAAACACTAAAAATTCCAGCTTCCTGGAAGTATGTGATGGAAAGAATGAAGCTGGTGGTGAATGTCTAGCCGGAGAAGAAGAGAAAGCCGTATCAAGGGGAGGCTTAGGCAGCAACTTGAGATGTCCATTCATTCCCACAGTAAAACAAATACATTTCATTCTCCAGGTAAGAAAGGTGGAGGTCTGTCTGGAGCAGTTCACAGGCGAATGGAGGGCTAGGCTGTAACAAACTATAATGATTCTGCTGTAGGATACAGGCATTAGAACAGTGTTAGGGTACAGCAGTCACTGAGCCCACTAAAAAGGTAGGAGGTGGCTCTCAGGTAGGAAGGCGCGTCTCAGGACTGGCTTGGCCCAGAGTAAACTAATGCTCGTGCATGTGCGTGTGCGTGTGTGTGTGTGTGTGTGTGTGTAGTACAGGAGTAAGGACTTCCATTCTGGAGCAAGCGATTCCATTTGGGAGGCTGTGAGTGAGCCCCACTAAGTCCAAACGGGAGGCTTGATAGCGTGTCCTTCAGCAGACCCGTCCAATGTGACTATATAAAGTAAATACTGTAAATCACCCTTGTCAGGGCGCACACTCCACCTCCCCCTCCCTGCCCGCACACACCCCCTCAGCGGTTCAGGGCGCTCGTGGTCTAAGTGAACCAGAGGGCTTCTGACTGTAATCCTAGCACGTCACTTTGTTGAAGGCAAACACGTGGTTCAGGGGGAACTTATAAATCTCTCCTCCCAGGCAAGACCGCGATGTTATCTGCTGGCAGCAGTGGGTTCGCTTCGAGGGGAGCTCCGGGAGCCCAGAGACAGAGAGAGAGAGAGAGAGAGAGAGAGAGAGAGAGAGAGAGAGAGAGAGAGAGAGAGAGATGGGGCGCAAGTGAAGGAGGCTGGGACGGGGATGAGAACCTAGTATAACGGTCTAGGGAGCCATTCGGGATCCAGCCAAGGGGCTGCCTGGATGCAGAAAGGAGAAGGCAGGAGGGTCGGTGCCCGGGTGCCAAGTGCCGGCCTCCCCTAAGGAGCAAGTCCAAGTGGCAGAGGCACCGGGAGGGGCGGGGAAGGGTGCGAGTGCAAGGGAAGCCCCGCACCCCTCGGCGTGAGCTGCCCGCCAGCCGTCCCGGGGTGAAAGCCACGGCGGCCGCCGGCCGGTCGTCTGTTGCCGGGTTGGCGTTCGGCGCGAGAGCGGGAGGCGCAGGAGGGAGCTGGAGGCTGGCCGCTGTTGCCAGCGGCGGCGGCGGCAGCAACGTGGAGTAGCCGGGCGGGTCGGCGCGCTCGGCCGGGGTGGAGGCCACAGCGCGGCTCCGGGAGCAGAGCCCTCGCCGCCGCCGGGACGCCGCGGGATCCGAGCGCGTCCCGAGCGCCCAGCGCAGCGCAGCCGCCTCCCCGCGGCGCCAGGCTCCCCCCAGCGCGCGCACACGCGGGCGCGCGGACACACACACACACACACTCACTCACTCACACTCACACTCACACACGTGTGCGCTCCTCCGCTCCCAGCTGCTGCTGCCCCAGCTCCCAGCGCCGCAGTGGACGGGGCCGAGCCTCTCCGGCTTTAAATCCATAAATTACCGCCGCGCGGCGCCCCTCCCGCCGCCTGCCAGCTGCCAGCCCCGGGACCTTTTCATCTCTTCCCTTCTGGCCGGAGGAGCCGAGTTCAGATCCGCCACTCCGCACCCGAAACTGACACACTGAACTCCGTGTCCTCCTCTGAAATCCATTTCTGCCTAATAGCCACTGGTGGTGTCCCCGTCTCGTCGCTCCAGGAAAACTTCTTCTAACTCCCCCGAGTGAGGGTTCCCCCTGCCCACCGTGCATTCATATTTCCACTTCGGGAACTACTGGCCTTTTCTTTTTAAAGGAATTCGAGCAAGATATCCTTTTTGTTTTTTTTTTCCCCTATTGGACAGTGACTCGGTTGTTTGCAAAAGTTTCACATTTTAAAAAAAATCTACCTGATCTGTATTTTAAGACTGGTTGGTTTCTTTTTTTTTTTTATACCATTTTTTACTATTTTTATTTTTTTATTTTTTTTTAACTTTTTCCACCTTTAAAAAAAAAATGCACTGCTGTGTGCTGAGCGCCTTTCTGCTCCTGCATCTGGTCACGGCCGCGCTCAGCCTTTCTACCTGCAGCACACTCGACATGGACCAGTTCATGCGCAAGAGGATCGAGGCGATCCGCGGGCAGATCCTGAGCAAGCTGAAGCTCACCAGCCCCCCAGAAGACTACCCCGAGCCCGAGGACGTGCCCCCGGAGGTGATCTCCATCTACAACAGCACCAGGGACTTGCTCCAGGAGAAGGCCAGCCGCAGGGCGGCCGCCTGCGAGCGGGAGCGCAGCGACGAGGAGTACTACGCCAAGGAGGTGTACAAGATAGACATGCCGCCCTCCTTCCCCTCGGAAAGTAAGTCCCGCTCCCTGCTTCCACCCCAGGCGTAGCGCTGCCCGAGGCTCCCGACGGCCACCCCTCCGGATCACCCTCCCTGTCTCTCCCGCTCGTCTCTCCTCCTGCCCGCGTCCCACCCACCTCCTCTCCGCTCCTGTGCTGCTTTCTGAACGTTACGCTTGAAAACGTTGCCTTTCGACTGCATTTTCTCCATGTCTCCCTTCCCCCCAGCGTCTCGGTCCTTCCCAAGGCGATTTTCTCTTTTCCTCGCCCCCGAAATTCTTTGCTCGGCCACCGGCTACAAGTCGGTTTCCACTCTGTCACCCCCCAGAGGCGCTTCCTGGGGCCGAGTTCAGCAGGGACATCTTGGTGGGTTTCTTTTCTTGGCCCCACGGGCGTGGAGACTGTCCAGCTGGTGCATGAAGGGTTAAAAAAAAAAAAAAGAGTGGCCCAAAGCTAGCCTCTCCGGAAGGCGCCCCTGTTGGTGCGGACCTATCAAAAGGCTCCCCCGGGCTTCCCTATTGTCTCCAGCTCCCCCCAAAACGTCAGCATCGCCAAGACAAACCCGATTTGGTGAAGCCCCTCCAAAAACCTACCTCCGAACCCCCGGTTCTTGAACCTATTGCCACAGCTAGGTGTTTACATACCCCAGAGGCCAGCTCTTGTAACCACGGCCCCTTCTGCTGTCACCTGGAGTGGTGAGAAGGACTTCTTTCCTGAGGGTGTCGAAGGGGGTTTGCACGGGTTTTCCAGAATCCCCTCAAACCTGTCTTCTGAAGCTCTCGGGGTAGCAGATCATTTTTCTTCTGCGTGTATCCTTCTCCCTCCTGAGCCCTGGGCCCCTGCAGTTACTTGGGTGCATTCCTAAAACTCAGATAGAGTAGAAGACCGCTGAGTTGTTTTTTTAGTAAACTAGCTTTTCTGAGGGCAGTGTCCTCAAAACCAGCTGGCACACAGTAGCAATGGAAGTGAAATGATTTATTGGGGAGTTCCTGGGGGGGGGGGCGGGGGAAGGACAGTTATCTTAGAATTAGTTCCAAATTCTTTAAAAAAAAAAAAGAAAGAAAGAAAAGAGAAGCATCCCGTGATACCTGAGAGGGTTAAATACCAGGAAGAAGAAGAAAAAGAGAGAGAGAGAAAGAACTTCGACATTTGCATAGTCCAAACCCCAAGTTGTAAACTTTTCATTGGCTGCCCAGTTCTCTCCACCTCTCTCCATGCCCTATATACTTGCTGGCTGCCTCCACAAAGTCCTGTGTCGCTCCTAAACAGATAATATGGCCATCTTGATCATTCGATCCTAGAGGTTCTAGCTGTAGGGTGGAGTTTTTCTCTTTTAATATTTATTTTTAGTTTGACAAGGGCAGTTCTGTGACTTGCCCTGTCTCCTTGATGGTCGCAGAACGTCCGCCCGTGTAGCTCACCCCAGCCTTCCTGGCGACCTCTCTTTTGCTGTAGCTTCTCTTCTTCTTCTTCAAGAGCAGAGCAGACGCAGGGGATCCTGGCCAGTGGGATGGTTTTATTATTGTAATGATGGCACCATCCACCACACTGGTGAAAATACGCTCCACCCTGGTTGTTCCCTGCGGGAAGCGAAGCTTTCTGTCTGGGGAGAAGCCAAGGAGATATTAGGCAAGAAAGTTCATTGTAATTAGTCCAAAACCTTTGAGACCGAACATGGGGCTGAGTCAGTTTGCTTTTTCTAGCACATGTATGTTTCTACTGGTATTTGGGCAGAGGGGCAAGTTCGTTATATAGACGCTGAACATGCCATCCCTTAGTGTGCTTACCTTGCTAATGAATTGCCAGTGTTTTTTAACAGAGGAGGTCTGAATTCATCTTTAGATAGGTAGGGAGAGCAGGTTACCCAAGAGGGTGTTCGTTTTTTGTTCTTTGTTGTGTAAGTCGGTCCAAAGGGCTGAGATGACCTGGCCCAGGATCGTAGTGATCCCCAAACTGGAAAAATTCTCGCTGGGACTTCAGAGGGTATGGCAACATGTGGACACTCTTCCCCATTCCGCCCCTAGCCACGAAATAAATCAAAACTTCTAATCAGCCCAGTGTTTGAAAAACATACTGTCAGTTTGCATGCAGAAATACAGGCTTCTCCAATCCTGTCTTGTGCATGCAAAGCTTCGGAGCAGAAAACCATGCCAGCAGCAGATGTGATCCTACTGTGCAAGGGCTGTGAGCAATTTTATAGAAAGTAGGTTAACTGATTTTCCAGCACTTTCTAGTTATACTGCAATATAGTAAACCTTTCCAAGGGGGGTGGGGGGTGGCGGAAGAAAAGAGAAAAATCACTCCACCATATTTTTTAAAGAGCAAATTGAAAGTAACAGCATTGGCTTCTATACCAACCTTCCCCTTTAGGACCTGCGCGTGGCTGTGGGGAGGGAGCCTGCCTGTCATTTCTTGCAGTGAATTCGGTGAGGTCAGAAGCCGCAGAGCCCAAGGCATGGGAAAGTTCACTGGTTCATTTTTTACCACCAACTTATTAGCGTTCAGGGAGGGACTCGAGCTCAAATATTACAAATATGCTCTAATTATACTCGATGAGCTATATATCATTACAGATCTCTGAGAGCCCTCTGTGGGACATTTTATACAGTTCAGACTAAATATTTTTAGCAATGTGGAAATTTAAAAGTAAAAATATAAGAGATATTGTATATGCCTTCAGGCATATTTTGTGTTAAATATTATCCTTGGCCCAGCACACTATATAAATACAGTAAATATGAATAGAACTGGCTCGTTGCCAATCTCCTAGGATGAATTTTAGTCAAGAAAGGTATTTATGGGATATAAATAATACTGTGTCAACATTTAAAGAAGGGGTCTGATTAGTTTTGAATTTATTCATATTGATCTTTTCACATGCTGTTAGTTTAAGGTTCAAAGTGGAGTTATGCTTGGGTGTACCGATCGTTTACCCAGTGGGAATCGGTGGATTTCTAGTCCTTTGGACAATAATCCATTTGAAGTTCAAGACACAGCTCTTGAAACGACATTGCACAGGCTTTAGAGACTTAGCAAGAGTGACTTCCTTAACCAGAGAAGGTGTCAAATAATGGACAATTAACATCTGCAGAGAATTGGACACTCAACAAAAGGAAGAGGCAGGAAGTTGCATTTTCTAGCTTCCCTCTCCCTTTCTCATGGTAACCAATCAGGTACTGGTGGTGGTTCTAACACACACAGCCCCCGCCCCCAGGATGCATTTGACATTTATGGTTGTCCTGACTGGCATTGGAGGGGTGCTGTGGGCATTCAGTGGGTGGAGATTTTGCTGACCCTCCTAAAATGCACAGGACAGCTGCACCCCCCTCCCTTATATCAAAGAACAATCCGGCCCAAAGTGTCAGTTGAGAAGCCCTGATAACCCCGATCTGTATTTTGGGGTACTGAATTCTGTTGGTGGTAACATTTTTAAAGTGATCGCCATGAAAATAAAGTATCTTTATGCTCAAAAGGACATTAAAATGAGAGCATTGAATAGAAAGATAAACAGGACGTTATCTCAATTAAATAGGAGCACGAATTGGACCATGTGGTATAGTATATGCTTTATGATGATGATCTTAAAACATCTAAATTAGAGGCATCCAATGGTCCCATTCAGCTAGCCTAAGGAATGATGTGGTCCCACCCATGACTAACTGTCATCCGCCAGTGGTGTTCCTCAGAACAAAGGGAGAAGTGACAGATTATCTTGGGTTTCCCTTGCAGAGAAAATAAGCAATTCATGTTAATGAAAAGTGGGCCCTCCAAGCTAGGCAACCAAAGAAAGTAAATAATCGTGTTGGTTTATTCTGTCATATTGAATTAGATGAACCAAAATATACAGCCCGAAACAGCGCAGTGAGGTTTCCTTTGTCATTGTTTCACGTGAATGTTAAACATTCAATACCAAACACTGTCCTTTCCTACATCCCCTGTCACTTTCCAAGGGAAATCGCAGAACGGAGAATAAATCCCAATCGCACTGTGTTTTGGGGGGAAATGCGACGTAAGGTTCTGTTCAGGGATAGGTCTTTCTGTGCATGAACTACTGGACTGTGGGCCAGTTGCCCAGGGAAGGAAGATATTAGCCGTTGCTGGAACGTAGTAGTAGTTTTGCTTGATGTTCAGAGATTTTATTTTTCACGTTTCTCTCTGTGCATGTGTGTGCGAGAAAGAGAAAGAGAGACAGAGACAGAGAGAGGTAGAGACAGAGAGATCGGAGATTGGAACCGTATGGCTTCGCAATGACAGTTATTAGCGAACAGACCAACTTTAATCCCTTCACCTTTCCTGCAGCATTGCCTGCCCTAACTCTAGTGCCCAATTGTGGTTGCATTTAGCTTGGGCCACTTACTCTGTCAGGATTTCCTCCCTGCTCTTTCTTGTACTTTTCAAGGACTAGGAAAAACCCTCAAAGAAACGCACTGTTTAGAGCTGAAGCGGGGCTGTCTGGGTTGCCAAGTGGGGTCAGGCTGCTTCAAGCCTCTCCTGAGGACTCCTCACCCCATGGAGCTTTGCAGCTGCAGGCGCAGGTGGGGAGCACGGGACCTCCCAGCAGGACTTGGAGCCCTCTGGGTCTCCCTGGGGTCGACTTCAGGAGCTGTACCCTTGGAATGCCGGCTTCTGCTTGGTGCAAGAGCGCTGATGTGAGCCCGCCGTGGCATCTTTCCTATAAAGATATGAAGAAATGACAGATGTGTTTCCTAGAGGAAACGGAGATGTGAAAAAAAGGGCCAATGACTCACTGTTGATCCACCGTCAGATCTGGGTGAGAACCGGGGAGGTCACTGGCTCCTCGGCCTCGGCCCAGCGATGACAGCACACTCCAGGTGCAGTTCTAGGTGAGTGCAGGGACCTGGTCCAGGGAGAGATCACAGGCCCACTGCGGAGTTGGGACTCCCGGCCCGACACCCCCTGCCCATCACCCCCCCCTCCTTGTAGGTCTAATAGGAAGGTGAGCTGCATGCAGAGACGGTGGAAGGGTCTGGAAGCCCCCATCTGTCTAGCTGTGG